GCAGGTATGTCTGTGAGCCATGTGCACGCGGTGCCCTCAGAGGTCAGAAGAGGGCATCAGATCTTCTGGGACTAGAGTTAGGAAAGGTTGTGAGCCACCATATGTATGCTGGTAACTGAACCCAGTCATCTGGAAGAGGAGCTAGTGCTCTTAAACACTGAGCCGTCACTCAAGCCCATCTTTGCCATTTTTAATTGATTAAAGCAGAGAGGCTCATTGTCTGGCTTCCATGCACCATTAACAACAGCAACAAAGATGTTTTACACGTGCAGTTCCAGTCGTAGTCACATGACCCCAGTCACAGGAGGCAGAGAGTTTCTTGTTTAAAAAATGTGATTAAGCAAGTAATCCAGGGTCCTGTCATTGGTCATTCTCCAAAAGCCTCTGAGTCTAGTGTCATCTCATGAGACTTCAGATCTGTACCTTAAAACTAAGAACCAACACAGAGCAGAAGCACACGTGGTCCCAACATTCTCAAACAATTCCAGGAGGCCTTCAACATAGACAGGACTCTTGTTTTCTCAGATGAAGGGCGACAGTGTTCCAGGCCTGTCATGAGAACAGGTGCTGTTCTCAGGCAGGAAGAAGTTCAAACACTCATCTGATGAGATTTCTCTCCTGTAGCCCTGGAACTCACTCTGTACACCAGGCTGGCCTCAAACTCAGAGAGATCCACCTACCTCTGCCCCCTGAGTACTGGGATTAAAGACACATGCCACTACACAGCACCACTGAAACCGTAAACATTCCCTACAGGTTCACATTTTGAGCACTAAGTCTCCAGCTTTGTGTGGTTTTGAAGGTGGTGGAGCCCAGCTAACTGAAGCAAGGTTCGTAAGGATTATACTGGCCTGGGGTTCCAGCCTTTTTTTCCAGTTTCCTGGTAACCGTGATGTTGACAGGTACTCCCACTGCCACAGAGAAGCGTCTTAGCCATGCTTTCCCTTAGTATAGTGGAGACACTATGAAACTATGAGCTAAAATAGAAATCTTCCTCCATTAATTCTGTTACTCTGATGAGAAAAAAACCTACACCCACAAATCCATATCTATTTTTTTAGATATAAAAAATAGAATTATTATTATTTTAGTTTTACTGTGAAAGCATTTTTGTTTGTTTGGTTGGTTGGTTTGGATTTTATAAGATAGGGTTTCTCTGTGTAGCCTTGGCTTGCCTAGAACTCATTCTGTAGTTCAGGCTGGCTTCAAACTCAACTGGGCTGGGATTAAAGGTGTGCACCACCACTGCCAGTCATTAAACAAATTTAAGCAGATACCAAGAGGGAGAAAAAAAAACCACCAACAAAAAAAGAACAAATCTTTGACTTAGGTGGTACATGTTGGAGTGACTTCTTTCAAAAGGTGGTTCATTCTAACTCACACTTCCTGACTTCATGACAGACACCCTGCTGAGGCTCAAATAAGGACACCAGACCAGTCAAAGTTTAACTCAGTTTTATTGTCCAGTGTTGAGTATTTTCAAATTATACAACATGCAGTCTGCCAGAGTATCCATACATCTCCGTTTTAGAACCTAGGAGATAACCAGAGTTTTCCAAGGGCCAGGGAGGGTTACTTCCAGATCTTTGGGGACATTTCTATCTCACAGGATAGCTATTTAAATACACACTGCCATTCTCCCCATCAAACCACATAAACAAGTTTGTCCACAATTTTCCTTAATGAAATCTACTGTACAGAACATAAAGCCCAGAGAACACACATCTGCAGTACACATGACATTTTATAAACTAGACAGATAGAATTCTACAGAAAGCCCTATTCCCCTTTTATCTGCACACATGGAAAGTGTTTAAAATTGATACACAGTTCTCAGAAAATAAGCAGACTTCACAGACCAGTGTTTCCTTTGGCAGTTATCTGGTCCTTAATAGTTGCTTAAAAACTCAAAATTATGTTAGGAAGCAGTTTTAAACAGTGATGGTTCTTTAGCTTGCTCAAGATAGTCAGAATGGGACAATGAAGTGAAACCTGCCCAATGACAAACTTCTGATAATGACAAGCTTCCCCAATGTTTTCTACCTTGAGTCCCAATGGTGCCTGCCATACAAAGGAAGGGAGTAATCAAAGCTTTATGTTCCTTTAGCTATTCTTCTAGGAAAGGAAAGCTGACAAGAACCCCATCCCCTCAAGCTCTAGTGAAGCCTTGGGAGTGTACTGAGACAGAAAAATTTTGTCTCTATATGGACTTGAAGGCTTCAAGGTGTCACTGGATCTACATTCTAGACAAACATTTTTAGCCCTTCATTTATTCCAACAGTTCTAAGAATTCCTCACCATGTGATTCTATATCTTTTAAAAGGCTTAACACCTCTTACTGTTCTACCTGCCCATCCACTAAAGCAAATTGCTCCTCATTTGAAGAGATGAGTCGTATGCACAGGATTCTCTAAGGACTGATCAAATGTAGTTGGTGTTATATGCCCCAACCATAACTGCTATCTTCAATAACATTCATAATCATCACCCCACCAGCTGGCAGGCAGAGGTTATTTGTCTAAACCATCTGGCTGTTCTCATACGGCACCTCAGAGTAAACTTTCAAGACGTAGGCATGAGATAGTAAATTATTCAGAGAGTACACACTGGCATACATTCCAGCAATGTGAAGCATGTGACTGAAATGGAACCCTCCACGTGGCTGTTCAGAAGTGGAATTTTTACAGTTAGAGTATAGGATGTAATAGCCTGTCAGCAATGAAAACTTTATATACACGGCCTTTTAAAAAAGTGGCCTGAGAGCACAGTGTTCTGATAAAGGAATGAATAGACAATGTGAGATTGAGGGGTTGCTTGAATAAACTACATAATCTGTTCCAATGACGCGCCTAACTTTTAGACACAGTGTGAGAAAATTAGATTAGAGGTCTTATAACGATTGGCACTAGATGGACTGACTGGCTGATCAGCAACTAGAATTATCCCTAAAAGACATCAAAGCCAACTTTCTCTGTGAATAAAAGTACAGTGAATTTTGTAAGGCCCTTGTAGAGATCAAGCAATATGAACTACAAACGAATGCTGCCTTTTAAAACTTGAAAGTGCCCCACAATTCTTCAGAAGTAGAAAATGGGAACCTAGGGGGAAATTGCTTTAGAAAGAATCTAAAATCATCCATTTTATAATGGCTGCTAATGAAAGCCAAGAACAGGATATTACTGACCTGTACCCAATTTCTGAACACAAAGTAGCACAGTTGTCTAAAAGACAATAGTAGGTCCTATAGACAAGAAGCATTTCATTGGTGGTCCACATAAAGGCTAACATTTCAGCTTTCAAGTCAGAGGCAAACATAGACAGTAAGCTTCTAATTCTGCGTTGGTTAGTACCGATGCAAGCTTGCCCCACAAACGACCTGTCCATCAGACTCAACATAGCAGCCATCCAGTTATGTTGAACAGATAGTGACAACAACATTAAACAAAGTGAACTCAGGTAAACAAACACAAAATCATCTTTGTAAAATAAATACTTCAATAGAAGTGGTCTTCTTTTCATGCCTAGTTTAAAACAAAGCACTGTTATAAAGGGCAACGTCTAACAAATAAATTAAGTCAAATTAGCGTTAGGAAAAATCTGTACAAAAGAATCTGGAAGGTAATATACACAACCCTCAACATTTTACACACGCATGTGCAGAAGCACACATATTAGCTACATTGACTTTTTCTATCCCCTCATCAGAGCCATGAGAAAGCCTAGAGTCTCCCCTTACTCCAGGGGTTCCAGCTTCAGAAGACAGTGAAGGCTCACACTTCTTGGACACACAAGATGACAATGTGGGTAATTTCTCTGAGATGGATGGGGAGGTTACTAACTAAACCACAAATTAATGAAAACAAATAGCAGCACATATTATTGACCTACTTAAGTCTGTCTGTTTCTCTTGAAACTCTACTTCTTGGCAACTGATCCTTTTAGTATGCACAACTGGATGTAGTCACCTTTAGATTCACGGATTTGAATAAAATAATAATTAAATATACATAAAAACAAAATAAAAAAATCAATCCAGTTATACTTATTTTCCTGCCCCCTAATCGAGCCTCAAAAAAGAAAAAGCCTATCTGGTGCTGAAGAAAGAATTCAAATCAGCAGTTTGCAATGATAGGTTACAATAAAAACAGACAGGCATAAATCTCATCAATGACTTTCCCCTGAGGGAATTCTTTTACAACTACTGTATTGATGCTGGTTCTCTTTAGGAATATCTCCTCAAGCACTCGAAGGTTTGCTATAGAAAGAGGCTAGCCCAAGGCAGGTCCCAGGGATCTGGAGGAAGCTGTGAGGAGGGCGGGCAGCCTCTTCTCTACTCACCCAATTCTGCAGCATTTCCAGCACTTGTAGGAATGGTGTTCAAACAACTGGGCTGGCCAGGACTAGTCACTGCGGGTTCACCAGCCAGCAGCTTGGAGGTGAATTCTATGACTCTTCACATTTTCATAGATGTGTCTGAATGAGCAAATTCTATACTGCTATTTTCAAACTGTTTTCCTGCCTTGAAGAAATCTGCTTTGCATTTTAACAGGTGCCATACTAAAAGGTCTATTTTACAGATCCAAAGATACAACCAGGATATTTAAAATGCTCTCTGGGGTTGGTTTTGGAAAAGTGTTCAGAATGAAAATTTTGAACCCTATAGCAGCACTTTTTTTTGTTCCCTAAAAATATAAAGTAATGTGTTTATTTTACAGGAAACCAGACAGTCGAGGCAGAGAATGGTGACTGGTTCCACAGCACTTGGTTGTCCCTCTAGGATGGCACAGCAGGGCGTTCCATTCCAATGGGCCAGAGCACTGCAGGGGCCTCCAGAGACCAAGCAACCCCGGAGGCTGAGAAGTGACAGTGACAACATCTGAGGAAGTGGGTCTTGCATAACCCCCTCCTTCCAACTTCTTAGGAGAAGGTTCCAAGCACGTATCTGTGCACACAAATTCTACACAGGGCAAACACCTGAATCTGGTGTACTACAGACAGCTGGGCAAGCAGGTGTAAAAAGAAACGGAAACTGTATAGGGGAAATAAAGGAACTGCTGACTAATATAGTCCTTTTCATGCTACGTGGAATCATATCTGTTGGAAAAGAATGAGAGAGAGAACATAGGTGTTAGCAATCAGCACGCTCACTCCTCAGACTGTTGTTTCAGTCTAGACCTTTGGAACAGAGCTGTCCAATGCAAGTATGACTCGAGCCCTTATTTTATTTCTTGCCATATCTGCATTAAAAGGAAACACTAATCTCAATGATACGTTTATGTAATCCAGTATTAAAATCTGACTTCAGCATGTGTGTATGCAGCTATTTTTCACTGCAGTGTTGCCACTGAGGGACTTGCACATACTCCGCCCCAATGTGAGTGTCCGGAGGCTGGTGTCTGTTGCTGGCCATCAGTGCTTCTCAGCTGAGACTTGGCTAACATAGTGGATAACAGAGCTTCCTACATCCTCGATCTAAGTACTTTGTCCTGACACAGTCAGAGTATTCTCTCCCAAAAGTCAGTACATTCTGAATCCGTGTGCAATCAGGGTAGCACAAAGCACTTCCTGTCCTAAGGGACAATCAGACATTGCTCATTAACCAATACATACATCACCAGGCAGGTCAGGCATGGTCCTGACCCACGTATTCTACAGAGAGAGAACTGATTTGAAAGTGTTTCACACCAATGGAGTCATGAAGGTCTCAGTACAACATCCCTTTCCTGTTTACTTGGCCTCTCAGTAGAGGTCTGTCCAGCTGCCCTTGTGCAGGTCCCCAAGATGGGAGTCTTGGACCTGTTCTGACTGGAAACCAGCCCTGAGTGGTCTTCTGTTAACTCTTGTAAGCTTGACATTCAGAACATATCAAAAGAGTGAACCCCTGCCAGCATCGGGAGGGGACCTGACCCATCTGTAATCTACCCTGTGGATTTCTGGCAGAGGTCCTGGAACCCTCAGGCTGAAGAGGTGGGGCAGGAACCCCATGGACAGGTACAGCCTCATCCTTGGAAGCCAAAGGAAGTGGCACAACAGGAAACATGATGGAACCAAAGAAAAGTTATTCTGCTCCCCTGAGTTTGAACAAGACTCTATAACCTGACACACTGTACTTCCTGTTTATCTCCAGCCTTCTGTCAACCTGCGGGGTCTCACAGCCCGGCCACAATACTTTCTCCATGTTGTTTCTCTACAACTTCCTCATTCATAATAGTGTAAGCAGCACCACATATTTTATGAAAATAAACACAATATAAATTATACATGAATACAAAAGAGCAACCAGCAAGAGGAACCAGGCAGGTGAGGGAACAGTTCATGCTAAGAATAGCCATTCCTCTTGGACCCACACCAAATACACAGGAATCTCAGTTTGTGTCATTTCCCATGCTCACAACCTCTCCTGATTAAAGGGGACAGAAACAACCTTTGATGATAATCTTGTAATTTCTAGAAGTTACAGAGAGAGAAAACTGTTTATAGGAAGGACGAGTTTCACATTCGGCCTTTCTTGAGAGTCCACGCTTCCTGTTGAGTGCAGAATGACGTAGTCATTTACAATCCATGTTGCGTTGAAAACCAACAGGAAGGCTTTTGAACAGCCACACTGAGATCCTACTTCACCTAAGCGTTTGTTCCTCCAAACACAGCATCCCACCGGGCAGAAAGGATTGGTCTTCCTGTGCGCCCGGAGGCAGGGAGTGCTGGCTGCATACCTTACACTGAGATCATAGCCCACAGCAATAGCTACAGGCAACCTATGTTGACACAGCACACAAATGGAGGGGCCCAGCCTCAATAACTCCAGCAGACCATGAAGTGAGGAGATTTCCACTAGAAAGATGGTATTCAAGTCCCACACTGCCCTCAGGTACAAGTTCGAGCACGTTTGGGCTGACAGCTTGAAAGAAATGGGGGCCACAATGGAGGCTTACTTTAGTCACTTCAGGGGCAGTGAGAAAGAGGTGGATTGTGGCAGGCTGCTGATGAAAAAGCAGAAGCTGAAATAGGGTTCTTTCTTCACTATAATGAAGTGCCCCCACCCGCACCCCTTACTCCAATTTTTCAGATTGTTTTGGGTCAGCTAGAGTATCTCAAATCAAGCTTCCTACGACCTGGATGTACATTTCCTTTGATGATGCACCACAGAAAATGGAAGGAAATGTTGAAGGTAAGTTATTTCTCTCTACAACCCCCGCCCTTGTACCTCCCTGTTTTCACCCCAGGAGGCCTAGGAATCCTGAGAGCTTAACACCTGCTCCTGTGGACCTTCTCTCCAGGCCTGTAGAAAAGATGCTCACTCACCCAACAGGGGCAAGGGACTAGACCGAGACACCAGGCAGTGTACTAACGAGAGGCTCTGCCAACCTGAGGCCAGCATTTCAGAGTGGGAACGTGTGGCCAGATTTAGAAGGAAATAAAATCACCTTGCTTTAGAAGGGGCAGAGAAGGCTGAAGAAAGAAGCTAATTATATAAATAAGGGTTTTGCAATAAGTATTTAGACTCCAACCCTCATCTTTGGCTTTTGAAATTGCTTGCAGTAGATTTAAGCTTAATCCAAACAGTACATAGTTTTATCTTTCCCTTTGCCTTTCTGCAGCTCAATCCCCATTTATAAGAATTACCAGTTGCCTTTGCTTATCGAGGTGATGCAATCTGCCATGAAGGAACCATTCCGTTCCGCAGTTTTGACTTGGGGAACCGCATAACCCAGACTACTGAAGCAAGGTCTTCCTGGTGCCACCAAGTCTCCTTCTGAGTTCCGGGTGGTAGTCTCCAGGCCACCAGAACTACCCACCTTAGGACCCTCTGTCGTGGTCCCTGCAGGCCCACTTCTTTTCTTTAGACCCTTGCCTCACAAGTACTACAAGATTAGTACTCTAAAGGTCAAGTTTTTGCTAAGTTCTTGTCTGGGTTTCCTTTAATTCCTTATTATTATTATTTATTTATTTCTTACTGGACCCCTACATAAGGACCCTTGCATCCCTGTGCAATAGCCAAGAATTTTCTCTGAAGTGACAAGGATGGTGGCTCTCTTCACATACTCCAGCCAAGGCCATGCAAAGAAACAGATGCAGAAGCAGCTCAGAGAAGTAGCCGCTATCCATTAAAGCAGACAAAGAGGTCTTTGAAGATGTAAAGTAATGCCAATTAGCTAAGGGTTTTTAAAAAATTATTCTTCCCTTTAAAATGCCATTTATGCCTGGACTGTACATACCCACATAAAGACACATAACTAAATAAAAATAAATTGTTTATAAAGCAAAGGGCTAGAGATGGTTCAGTGGTTAAGACCACATAGTGTTCTTGCAGAAGACCAGAGATCAGTTCCAGCATCCACAAAAATCAGTCCACAAGCTTCTGTAATTCCAGCTCCAAGAGATTTAAATCTTCTTCCGGTCTCTGGAGGGATCTGTCCTCATGTGTACATTACCACACATAGACATACACAAAATTAAAAATAAAACTTTTTTTTAAAAAGTCACTTATGGTAATTTATTTAAATGAATCACTCATTTAATGTTTTAGTTTTAAAATGTTATATGACATTTTTGACAAATAGATACTAAAGCCTTGATGCCACCAATTCTCTTTAAGAATACACAGGGAACCTAAAGTCAAAACCTTAAGAGCTAGCACACAGAAGCTCCAGGTTCCTAGTGTCAGACACTCGTTAGTTTGGCCCTTCTCTTTGGAATACTTTGGATCCAGAAAAGGATCCCTGGCTAGGTGGTGTGAGCATGTACAGAGACAGCATGCACAGAAACAGGAGCAGAGGCTGCTTCTGCCAACAACCACTGACTCTCCTGTGGGCCTGCGAGGTAACTGGAAAGCCAGATGAAAACATGGCATCCAGGTCTTTTGTGCCTTTCTGCTTTCTTTTGGGTCCTCCACATACCTCTTCAGTTTGTCACATTAGCTACGCAGAGAGCTCTGTCTAACCTAGCTCATCCCCTTTCAAAGCTAAAGGCACAGTGCTGTCATTGTCCTAACGGAGTTTCAGGAAGAGGAAAACCCTCATGATAACTTTCTTACCCCCTAAATCCTACCGGCAGCACTGCATCCCTGAATTCCCTTTTTCTACATGAAGGCAATTATCCATGAGGGTCTTGATGGCTTTAATCTGAAATAGAAGTGACCATCTCCTGAGAAACACTGGCCCCACCAGCAATAAGGGCTCTGCAGATCTCCCTCCAGAAACACAACTGAGACAAATGATAACCAGACCACCCCTTAACCAGGACTACCCAATTCTGCATTCACCTCCTGCCTCTGGACCCATTTCTTCCTGTCTGTTAATGTAAAACTTATGCCAAGCACCCTGAGACAGACTTGGAGTGAATAAGACCTTATTTGTTCTCTTTCCTAATGTGGCAACACTGAATACATCTATCTCCGACTTTTACCATTATCGTCTCTTTGTCTGGTATACCGGGAATGTGGTCTAGCCTAGGTTCCCAGGGCTGCCAGTGGAACCTGTACTTTTACCCTAAAAATCCGCACTTTTTCTCCAGTTGTGAGACTTACAGATGCCTGGTCTAGGCCCACAGAACCTATACCTTAGGTTCACACTGACACCCTCGATCCTCAATGGATCTGTAAGTAGGTGTTGACCACACAGAGGCACAAAGACAAAGTGACTTGGCCAGAGGTTAAGAACCAGGCTCAGACCAAAGTGACCCAGGATCACCTCGTTGGGAATTTAGTCATTGTTTCTGCTTGTAGTGGGCTCCTTGAATGAATGAACGCTGTGATCGTCCAGCTATAATGGCTAGGGTTTTAGCACAGCAATATGAATGGAGGTTTAGAGGTGGGCTGTACCTGTCTGGAGGACCCCTGCATGCCATCAGTAAGACTCAGTGTCACAGTCTCAGGGGCTAAACTGACAGCCACATCTGATCCACCCTCCAGTGCAGTATGACCCTATTTCTGCTGAGAACAGAGAGCTGTGTGAGCATCTTGGGGATACACAAGATAATTTACTTATGACTGGGTATCACAACCAAGAAGGGGAGACAGTAAAGGGTCACCCTAACAATGGTACAGGACAAATGGGTGATTAAGACAAAAAGTCACAGATGAAAAGACAGTAAAG